TAATGAACTTGTTGGTTTTAATGTCTGAAAATTCGCTAATGGTAATCAACATCATATAGATATCAGTCCATGAAATTAGTCTATAAGCACAAGCACAGATGTGGGCACCACACACACACACACACACACACACACCACACAAATCATTCAGAATGACCATGACCTTGCAATGAAGGGAGCCATGATTGGAAATGCAGTAACTCTGGCTTTTGATAAAATCGAAAATTCAAACACAAGCAGGACACTTCAGATGGTTAATCTTCAACTTAAAGTGTGCTGCATATATACTGTAGGTGAAATGAAATATTAAGTCAGTTTCATTATGTTTCAAACCTGCATACTCATTTTTAGAAGTTCCAAGGAAGCATGTCTGACAAGCTCCTAACAGGATAATAACTATAAATTAAAAACAGGTGTGCACTATATTCAAAATCTGCTGAAGTCAAGTCACGCAATAGCTTTATGTGAGAAAAAGACTGAAATTGAACTTATAATTTGCTAATCTTTTCATTTGCAGAAGCTTATAGCTTCTAGGCTAATAGTTTAAATTTCATAGAGTTTTATGCTATGTATGTATTTTTGTCACAATTTGCGTACTTATGCACTACTCTATGCCGTTTTGTAGTATAAATAGTGCAACGAGTGTGAGAAAAAGGGCACTTTAAAGTGTTAATTAAAATTCTAAAGTTTTGGATGTTTTGATGCGTCACAGTTTAATATAGAAGTTTGTTTCAGTCACGAGATAAAGAATAAAAAAGGTAATTGTGACTTCTCAGAATTGAAACTTTATATCTCACAATTTTGAGAAAAAGTTACACCCCTACTCTTTTACGAGAAGTCCCATGGGATTTTTAATGACAACAGAGAGTTAGGACCTCGGTTTTACGTCTCATCCGAAGGATTTGCATTCTGTAATTTTATCACTTCCACATATAAGTAGCTAATGTTATTATTGTTAATTTAACAATTAAAGTGTAATTTCATCTATTTCCAACCTACCTTGTATTGTTAGAATATGGGTAATAATATGCGTATATTTCACCTAAAACACTCTGTTCGTGTTCAGACAGTTTGAAACGTTGACTTTTCAAGTTCAAGGTTTTGTATTTGTCACATAAGACCTACATAAAAATGTGATGCAATGTAGTGAAATAGTTTTCCTCTAGATTTCCCACAATGCAACAATATTAACAACAATTATGTTAAAGACAACTAACAAATGATGTATATAATACAAACATGAATATAAAATAAAATCAGTATGATAATGTCTGTATGTAATGTTTGTGTTTATACGTGGCGTATAAGTTCTGCAGACTCTTCAAGTGTCCCCATTTCAGAGCCGGATTGCGGATTGAGGATAATAACTCCTTCTCAGTCTCTCATTCCCATTAGCTCTTTGAATTCGTGCACCCAGGAACAATACAAGTCGACACCATTATGACAAAAAGTTTGCTAAGAAGTATTTCCTACTAAAGCAATGCTGTGCTTGACTCTGGTAAGTATATCCATAGCAGACAGGTGGGAGTGGCCTTGGATGGCCAACATGCCCAGTGCATTATGGGTTTTGAAGTTTTCCTACCTATTTGGCAAAAGGGAAGACAACAGCCTTTTTTCTCTGTTTTCTCTTGAGGTAGCACTAGTTTCAAAAATGTTTTCGCCTCTCTACTGTGTAACGACTGAGACAAATCAGACACAATTATTTGGTAACAAATAATATTTAAAACTCACACTGTGATCTATGGTCACATCCCCCCAAAAAGGGCAAGAAGGGTCTTGGTTACGATCAGATAGGTTGGTTTTATTGCTGTTAAACATGTGGTCACGTGGAAAAAGCAGAGGCCATAGAAAAGACCCACTGCCCTTAAAACAGACTTTCCTGCATTAATTTATAGACAAACTGATCTATGATTGAACATGCACCCCAGGACACTGTGCAAATGATTTACTCCTGTGTAGTGTATTGTGATACTATTATGTCTTTGATACTATGTATTTTATGAGAGAACTACTAGTTAATGTAACCCCACCTATATCGTGTCTCCTATCTAATTAATCCTCATTTAATGACTCACACATTAGTGTACATCACCTTCTCATAGAATGCAGTGTGTGTTTGTGATATCTATCTGAGTATAAATGGACACAAATGCCAAGGCCCATACTTGAGACAGAGTCATAAATCCTCCCAACAGAGGAATTTCCCGCTTGGAAATCCCCCCTTTCTTATTGGTTGAGCCAACCCTGAAAGGTGGGACCTTTCTCTAAATGGCCTCTACACAAGCCATTCCCTCTCTTGGCCTTCTCTTGTACGTTCGGGTTGCTGTCCTGCGGGCTGCACTAGGCCCCAGACCCCAGACCCCAGGGCAGCAGGCCTTGACTCACAACCAGCCATGTGCTCATTCAGGAGAGAGAGGACTCCCTCAACCACAACAGAATCAAGGACAACATCAAGAGTTTGGCACAACCTCTTAATTCAATGCAGAAGAAGTCCATCGCAACTCCAACCATCAACTCTTCCGACTTCCTCCCTTCTCCTGGTTGTTCTGCGTGGCCACTCCGGCCCAGGGCCGGCAAGCCCCCATCTGCGCTCCAGCCATGTACTCATGAAGAGAGAGAAAACCTTCAACCAGAACAGAGTCAAACAAACCATTCAAGTCCATCAACATTTCTTCATTCAACGCCGAAGAAATCGATTAAGACTCATGGAACCATCAAAATCCTTCTTTAGGAACTTCACGAAATGTCTTCACTGCAAAGGCCTTGCAAGTAATGAGGTGCTCTGAAAATGATAAGCTGATGGTTCTTTTCATAGTTAAATGGATCTTTTCCATAGTTCCATTTCCTGCTTCCGGTTTCATTCTGTCACTTAGCATTTTACCCAAGTATGTGTGATTGTGTGTTTAGATATAGTTATGTTTGTGATTTAGTAAATACAACTTGTGCACAATACGTATTTGGTTCTGATTCTCTGCTTGCAACAAAGTTTATTTTACAATTTCGATTTTGACTACAGCCCCTTAGTAGTTCTGTACAGTAAGAAAGACATTTCCCTCCCCCGGAAATTTACATTTCTTAGAATTAATAAACAATTATCACTGAGTGTTCACGTGACGAACAGGTTGATTGATTGTAATATTCATTTTACTACATTGAATTAATTCTATTAACTGATCCATTATAATTAATTATTACAAGTTATGATTGATTATTAATATTTATTTTTAAACTCAGAGAGAACAACCTTTTGCACAGCAACCAAAGGATCAACATTCAGTTGGCAGTTCAGTTGAAATGTTCTCAGTTCTGCCAAAGTGAACAAGATGAGGCTCTTGTTGCTGTACATAAAAAAAACATATGAATAGAATGAAATTCTGTCTGGTAAAAGATCATTACGATAATTATATTCTGCACTTGAGAACGGTTTTCAAAAATCAATGCAAGCATCTCATCGCATTGTATGCTCAGACAGTATGTGCGAGTATTTTACAAGATTATATCATCCTTGACGATTCTAAAATTAAACAGAGACATGTAAGCACTAGCCTTGTGATTATGTCATTATCTGGACCAACTCCTCAGATGTTCGTCCTACAGTAACTGAAAGACAAGCTGGTGATGTTGTTGACGTGTGCTTTGGCCCTCAAACTCACTAAACAGAACATAACTAAGAGCCTTCATTCAAGATACAGTCCCAGTTTCACAGATGAGGACAGGTAGGCGAAGAACATTTACACAAACTAGCGGTTAGACCTGCTGACCTTGAACAGATGCCGAGTTGGATACAAAATTGTGTGTAATGAGTACATGTGTATGCGTATTGCTTCATTGGGAGGAGGGGGACAGGTGTTAGAGGAGGATGTGAAGGCTGTTTATTTGACATTGGCCCTGATGCAAATGGTAAAAAAATATTTCTTTTTTTTAAATAGATCAATTGTGTGAGTTGTCTCTTACCACACAATATTCTAATGCTTTCATTACTTCCACCATGGCTTGTCCTTCGGCTATTCAGCATCAGGAGTGGCGCCTTGATATGACTTTCCATACAGGCTGCAAATCAATATGCTTTTATTTTCTTCTTTAGGGGAGCAATGACATCAGTACACCCCCATCTGCCTCAGACAAACCCCATAAACAGTGCATAATACAGATGACCCTGGACTTTAGTAACAAAACAAAAATGATAAATTATCACAGGACATTTGGAGTAAAGGACACACACACACAAACACACACACACACACACGGGCTACTGTAAAATGGTCAAACCAGACAAAGCTGGGACAGACGCCAATCTAGGAGGGAACATCTACTGTCACCTCTCATAGTTTTCAGAAATTAATAGATAAATACCAGGCAAAACATTGCCTGCAAACTTTGGTAATGCAGCCTGGAAACGGGCTAGTTGTTTCCATTGCACTTTAATTATTTTTACTACTATTATTGTTATTATTTATCATATCTTTATATTTAGGAAAAGTGATTAAATGACCCCATGTGCTTTTTTTAAAATTGTGATTAGATACATCAGATACTCAAATTAATAACATTACACTCGATATCATTTTGCATCATCATGAATATTATAAATCAAATGTCAAAAGGGATTAAATAAGAGATTAATCATGATTAGCTATATATATACAGTATATATATATATATATATATATATATATATATATATATATATATATATATATATGTGTGTGTGTGTGTGTGTGTGTGTGCGCGTGTGAAATGCTTGCATTGATATAAAGATGACCCTGGACTTCAGTAACAAAACAAAAATAATAAATTATTACAGGATATTTGGAGTAAAGTGGCCACACACACACACACGCGCGCACACGCACGCCCGCGCACACACACACAATTAGTTTTACTGTTCCTGTGGGGACATTTGGTGTCCATAATGTACATGATGAGGCAATACCTGATGAGGCAAAACCACACATCATACAAGATATATAGGGACTATAGCGCCCCCTATGTGTGGATCAGAGAGAGACAGTGGGAGGCGTCCAGTGCTCTTTAAAAACTCTAAACTATTTGGTATTTGGGTGGATGGTAACACAGAGACCTCAACTGTGCATGGACATCTCCAAGCGTAAAGCTCCTCGTCGTTTCAGCAAGGAAACATAACAGTTCCCGCATCACCAGGAGGATGGCTTACTTCGACAGCAGCTGCCACTGCAGCAGTGAAAGACGACAGAACAGCATCTTGTACAGCATTTTAAAGAACGACAGTCAGTCTGCGCAACTTGGGATCCAGCCGAGGACACCGAGACTCGCCGTGTCCATGCGCGCTTGTGCGTGCGGATCCAAGAGGAAGGTGTCTCTCCGTTCCCCTCAAACCACATGCAAAGCCGCCTCCGCGGTCCTGGTCAAGACCCTGAAGTTCGTGAAGAACGTCCCGTGTTTCCGAGAGCTGCCTGTGGATGACCAGCACACGCTGGTGCGGAGCAGCTGGGCACCGCTGCTGGTGCTCGGCATGGCGCAGGACAGGATCGACTTCGAGACTTCGGAGACGCAGGAGCCCAGCATGTTGCAGCGGATTTTAACGAGCGGACAGGACAAGCAGGACAACCAAAGTAATAACAGTGGAGTGGCGTTGACCGACGTTCAGGGTATTAAAATGTTTCTGAGGAAATGCTGGGGACTGGACATAAGCACTAAGGAGTACGCATACTTGAAAGGGGCTATTCTGTTCAACCCAGGTGAGACATGCTGCACTGTTACACCTGAATTAGGACACACACTTCCTAACTGCCTGGTTTTAATATGAGTCACACTGTAATTATTAATATTCCTAATAATACTGATAGTAATATTAAAATAATCATAAAAATAACAAATGCATGAATTAGGACAGTTCATAGTTTAAAAGTAGGCTAATAATAGACAAAAGTAGAAAAATATTAATATTAAAAATCAGTGCTTTGTTTTTTTGTATTATTAAAATCCATTAATAATAAGAGCACACTTCTATTAATAATTACTGTCATTATTATATTAAACTAATAAAAGTAATATTTAATTGTTAAATTAGGCTATTTAAAAGGACCAGTCAAACTATAAATAATATTCTTTGTCAACGAATCTAATTGTCAATTTAATCAAAATGATTCTTTTTTGATCACTATAAGATTCCAAATTATGATACAATTTTTACTAGCATTCCTTCATTTTACTTTCGGGTCAGTAGTTCAAATCATATTAAAATATGAATATATGACAATAGATGACTCAAAGTTTCAGAAACAGAATTATTCAATTATAGTCAAATATACAGGTAATCAAAAGGTTTCTGTTTAGTGAGGGTAATTTAATATTATTAAGGTGTTTCTGGTACAGGAAATAACCAGTCTCTGTCCATCTCTTGTTCTCAGATGTTGTAGGGCTGCAATGTCAACATTACATCCAGGCCCTGCAGAGCGAGGCGAACCAGGCACTTAATGAATATGTCAAAATGATTCACCGCGGGGACAGTGCAAGATTCGCCAAACTCTTCCTCGCTCTCTCCATGCTGAGATCCATCAACGCCAAAGTGGTGGCTGGTCTCTTCTTCAAACCGGTCATTGGAGCAGTCAACATGGAGGAACTTCTTCTGGAGATGTTTTATGGAAAATAAACTCTAATTCAAAAACCAGGACTGAATTATCAAAGTTGGAAAGAATGGCAGTCGGCAGTGGACGGACAGATATTGAAAATGACTGATTCCTTTTTACACATGCTATTTTTGTACAATATATGAGAGCTCTCTTTTTGCCTTCTGAGTTGAACTCATCGCTGAATCCAAAGTTGATGACAACGTTTTTCCCATTTGGGGAAAGAGCTTTATAACTTTGTTCTGATTGTTTGTTTTTTTGTTTTTGTTTACTTGCTTTTATGTGATGTTGTGCCGCCTTATTCTGGTTGACACTTTATAATAACTTTCATTAGGAAATCATTAACAAGCATTCATTTGTATATGCATGGCATTTAATATATATTTTAAAATGTAATTATATTTGATGCAAAAATAATATATTACATCTAAAAATAGTGTTTCTCAGTTTCATGACTATCAATTTGAATATATGAACTAATGATCTGTTTTGCATTACATAATGTAATAATTTTGGTTAGTATTGTTAATGAAAGTTATTATAAAGTTTAAACAGTATTTGAATATTAGAAAGTATTGTAAATTTTTGTTATGCAATGACATAATGGAACATGGTTACACTCCTTCACATTTCCCACAACATAATGGACAGATATGTGGGTTTTTTTTTTTGCATTACAGTAACAGTTACACTTCGATAAACATGTCAACGGGATGACAGACCTAAGCACAAATACAAAACAGTTATGAAAATAAAAATAATAATTAGGAAATCATTGTTGATGACATTGTTTCTTACCTCAATGTAGCAATATTGTTTACCTAACCACTGCAGGCTACATAGACACGTCAGTAGGGGGCGACAAGCGACTGTATTTATGAGTGAGTCATTCAAAAACACCAATTCGTTCAGGAATGAAACAAGTGAAATACATGGGGTGAAATACGGGACATCACTAAATGATTCACTCAACCGATTCTTTCAATTACGCTACGGCTACGCTGATTCATCCTGGAGCTGTTTTGCTCATACGGTTGATCCTGAAACAATTGTCACTGGTGGAGCAAAAATAGACGAAGTAGGTGGCAATATGTTTTTAGAATGCAAGTTACTGTACTGATTCATTTTGTTCTATATGTAGCCTAGTAGGCTATGTTTTAAAGTAACAGCCTCTTGATTTCATTGACGTGTGGGGGATTTTCAAAAATATTTCTTTTGCAATTTATATCACTATGCCTACACTACAGTTATATAAACATGTTTTACAGTATTCAGTTAAAGAAAGATACTCATTAGAGAATCATTTGCATGATCAAAACAGAGCCAGATATAGAACCACAGGGTTGGCAAGTACCAGGTAAGCATCTTTTATCTCTTCAAACACAGTGAAACAGTCAAAATAATGAGGAAGAATAACTAGGCGCCTTGTGTGTATTTATGAAGACCTTGTAGGGCGGTAAGGAGAGATGATATATGACTGTTGTGACAAAGAGTTCTGAACTCTCGTTCATTCATCCCCCTCCTCAATATTCGGTCACCAAATGTATTTTTAATGAGTCTAAACCTCCACGGCATGCACTTGAAGGTCGCTGTGACCCCATTTCTTTCTCTGTATCTGAGCACTCACTGTCACAAATATTCATCTTATGAATTGAGTTGTGGCTCCATAGTTTCATTTATACCACATGCTTAGTCTGGTATTAGTCAGCGCTGTTCTATTCATGCAGAAAAACATTAATTAATCTAAGAGGATGCATTGATGCAAGGGTCCTTTTACAAAAAATAACGAAATAAAAAACATGTCTGCCCATGACTAGCCATAGAGTATAGCCAAAATTGCATTCAGGTTAAATAACATAATAACATTATAAACAAATAATTAGACAGAAAACCAAAATGACAGTGAGAGAGACAAAAGGAATAAAATAAAATGAGACAGACGTTGACGAATGTCTAATGGTTGTTTTGAAGACGACTGTCAAGCCAGTCACAGTTGAGCAAGCATGCAGGGACAAGTGAGATAGATAGAAGAAAGCTTGTTATTATCAGTATTCTATATTCTTACAATCACATTTGCACATACACTATCATTCAAAAGTTTGAGGTGAAATAATACTTTCATTGAGCAAGGATGCATTACGTTAATCAAAAGTGACAGTAAAGACAAAACATTTGTATTTCAAATGCTGTTCTTTTGAACTTTGGAATTAAATGCAAAATACCAAGTCACAAACCAGTCTGTAAAACATTTTTGCGCCATCCGATGCAAACGGTTTATAGCTAAGGTCCATTTGATTTGACACACTTAAAACATTCCATAAATATACCAAAACATATATTCCATTCATGTCCTTATTATTTTGAGGTTACTGGTAAGCCCCATGTTCATGTGTTGACATCTAGCACATGCTTTAAAGCTATGCCACATGCAGCTCTATAGTGGCAGCTCTTTGCAGCAAGAGGTTTCTGAAATATTTATTGGCTTTCCTTGCCAGCAGAAGTCACTGCTCTTTATAGTGTCTCACAGGGCGGCAGGATAAGAGAGTCCCTGTCATAGACTGCTGAGCAACTCTTCTTATTGCAGCTGGTGGAAGAAATGACATGTCATTGTTATTGTTTTAACATTTGCACTTTGAGCTGTTAAACAGTAACATCAAATACATCACCTGCATTGTTCAGTAGTCATTGCATTGTCCTCACAGATTTTATGGTGTCCATGCAATCATCCTTAGGCTTTTGAAACCTGTGAATAGATCAACTATATACTATTTAATGACTAAAATATTTAAAGGAATAGTTCACCCAAAAATGAAAATTCTAAATGTACTGCTTAACACACGAGAATGAACCTCATTGGTTCTCGCATGTCAAGCAAACATGCTTGATCTTCCGTTTACCACAACTTATGTGTGTGTTGATGAATGCTTATGTGAATGAAAGCTTTAATTCAATCTGTTCATCAAATAAAGCGATTTAGTCTCTTCAGAAAATGTGGACTAAACCGCTTAATTCATATGGATTCGTTTACAATCTAATTATGAACTTTTTGAAGCGGCATATTGTTGGTAGCTGTCTAGGGACAGAAAGCTCTCAGATTTCATCAAAAAGATCTTTTTGTGTTCCGAAGATGAACGAAAGTCTTGCGGGTTTGGAAAGACATGAAGACGAGTAATTAATGAAAGAATTTTTATTTTTGGGTGAACTATCCCTTTGACTACCCATATTAAGCAAATGGAAAGCAGAAGTAAAATATATGTAACATGAATATTTAAATATTAAAACAACCTGGGTTCCAGGCGCTCTTTCACTTTTGCTATGGATAAGATGTAGGGTCCAATTTGTCGTGTAATGGTTGTCAAGTAGGAATTTTCTTGCTTCAGCTGCAGAAGGTCATGAAGCTGTGCTGTAATTAGTAAATTAATTAGTTCACAAATTAATAGTTTAACTTGCATGATAAAATGAACCCTGAGGCATCACAGACAATTTGCTGTTTTTCCTCACCTTCATAGATCTCTTCCTCATTGGTTACTCTTTGAAAGGTCACCTCCCATATCTAGAAACACAACCAAAATATTCTAAGGTGCACTGTTGTGTTTTGAAAAAAAGAACAAGGTTTTGCAGGAATTATAAGTTAGCCTCACCTCCTGAAATACGGCCCTCTGGGTCTGCACGGCAGAGTACTGAGACGCGATCTGTTCATCAATGACTAGAGACCTTTCCAGGATCTTATCCATGGTGTCCATGTTGATGAGAGAGTGATGTTTTGTCAGGTCTATGTGCATCCTCTGAACCTCATCCTTCAACCTCTGGACTTCTGTTTGAAGAACCTGGCACATGAAATATGCATATAATTGATCAAATAATACACATATACACACTTTTTTTCTTTTTTTTATACCCAAAATACAAGAAAAGCATTGTTTTAGAGTACATGAATGGAAAAAAAAGGCATTTGATTCTCTTGGTTTCAGCATTCAGAAATGGTGAAATAATAGAAGAGATTATTTAATGTATACAATATAATATACTTTAAAGTGTCTCTACACTCTTAGAATAAAAGTTTCTATATAGAACCTTAAAGCAACAATAAAGAAGATTTTTTTACCTTAAAATAATGTTTCCAAAATCGTTTCAGCAGTTCATCAAGTCGTAACAGGGTGAAAGGCACTTCTGCCTGTGCTTTGCGGTCCTATATCTGCTATAACCACACTATGTAAGTTTGCCAGAACGGGTCACGTTTCTGTAGTTCGATGAGACATAAGAAAACTACAAATTTGGCTTGCTTTACGTCAAGCGTTACAATAGTCATTATTTAGTTTTTCTTCGTTTCTGATGTCGCAATACATCATACTTTCATGAAATCATGCAACATACTCTACCTTGTCTGTGGACATCGTTCATTCCAAAGCCGGTGCTGGATAAACTGCGAGCGTGTGTGCGACAGTAGGCTGCGGTAGGCTAAATTATTTACGACAGCGGTAATGGACAATTACGCTTCCAACCTGTAGGCCGACCGAAGAGGAAAAGTTCTTTAGTGTTGCTTTAAAGCAGTGGTTCACCCAAAAATGAAAATTCTGCCGTCATTAACTCACCCTCATGTTGTTTTAAACCTGCATGAGTTTCTTTGTTCTATTGAACGCAAAAGAAGATATTGTGAAGAACGTTGGTAACCAAAGAGTTGCTGGTCCCCATTGACTTCCATTGTAATGAAAAAAAATATATATACTATGGAAGGCAATGGGAACCAACCATGTTGGTTACCAACATTCTTCAAAATATCTTCTTTTTTGTTTAACAGAACAAAGAAACTCATACAGGTTTTGAACAACTTCAGGCTGAGTAAATGATGACAGAATTTTCCTTTTTTTGGGGGGGTGAGCTGAACTCTCTCTGTTAATGCTTGTTTTGTCTTATTTTAAATCATGACATCATCTTGAGGCCCCCTTTGAAGTTTGCTGAGGCCCCCCAGTGGACCCTGGCCCCCTGGTTAAGAACCACTGCCTTAAAGGGTTCTGTCAGGCATTCATAAATAGAACCTTTTAGGGATTCCCATCATGAGGTATTTCCATTAAAACAGAATGATGAGGCTGACATATCACTTTTCTTTAATAGCAAATAGAATTTTAATTCTGTCCATGTGTAGACTGACGTATCAAAGACGACTAATTCTCACCCTGTAGCTCTTCTCAAAGTTGCGGCAGTGCTCGGTAAAGGGTGACTCTCTGCCCTCCGCCAGCAGCACCTTGGTACAAATGTATCTGTGAAAGGTGGGCCTGCGGCCAAAAGGCATGTCACTGAGAGACGGTGACGGACAAGACATAGACAGAGCTGACAGCCTGTGAAAGGAAATGAGAGATCCTAACATTCTTATTTTTCACCTGTAGTCAGAATTGTTTTTTAAAGGCAAATATTGCTCTCGCAAAAGATTTTAACCTGGCAGCTACTGACATAGAATGGACTTTAAGCCAATGGGAAAATCCTTAAAGATGCACATGCAAATACAAAAGAAAGGTACAAATTTTGTTACAAACAAAACAATTTTGTTATTTACAAACACAACAAACAGGTAAAAGCACAATTAACAAAACAAAACTTTTTGTTGTTGTTGCTAAAACAAAACCTTATAGGATAAACAGTCCTATTTATTTAATAAATAAACATCTAAAGCAGTGTTGTTGTTATTTATTAATATTTTCATATGCTTTTTAAATGCTTTTGCCATTTGTATTCGTTTTTTATATTTCTTTTTAACTTTAATGGTAATACTAAGCAGGTTTAATTTGTTATAACTATGTAATAACTAACATGAACTAACTAAATGAACAAAATATTTGTTACAGTATTTATTAATCTTTGTTAATATTAGTTAACAAAAATACAGTTGTTCATTCATGTTAGTTCTGATTAATGTTAACAAACACAACTTTTGATTTTAATAATGTATTAGTAAATGTTGAAATGATCAATATTTAAGATTTATATATGCTGTAAGCATTGTTCATTCTTCATGTTAACTAAAGTAGTTAACTAATATTAACTAATGAAACCTTATTGTAAAGTGTTACCATTGTGATTTTAAGTAGCCTAGTTTATAATTTGTATTTAGTTTTAGTCATTTTATTTCAGCTTTATTTCAATTGACGAAAGCGATTTTTAATAGTTTATGTTAACAATAACGACACTGACCTAAGCAACGTAATTCTCTACCGCTGAAGCAGAACATTAATATATTATGTAACAACCATCAAAACATTGACATTCAGACCTATTCTGGCTAAAGTTAAACTCTGGTGCTTATCCATTTTCAGAGCTTGATGACCATTAATGGTCACTAACGATGCACAGAAATGCAGCATTCCCACCTCAGTCCACAAACCTCAGCTGGAAATTCCCGAGGTTAAGGAACAAGAATTAAAAGATCAAGAATTAAAAGCCCTATTGAAAGCTCATGATGTTACTAAGAAAACAACAAGAATAAAGACAGTTACCTTAGTTTCAAAGCTCCTCTAATCTCTCTTCCCTAGTACTGTGGCGGTACAAGTCCCTCGAGTGAGTCTGGACAATGTATGTTCTCCGAGCCTAAGTGACAAGCGTCCCACCCCCTTACTTTTACCAATTTAAGATCCTGGCACCAATGGTGACATCAGCAGCTTTGGAACAAAGTGCTTTGTGTGAACTCTGTGCAACGTGCAGAATCCGAAACACTTCTCTGAAATTCTGTTAAAAATAGTGAGAGAAGCCTGACGCCTGTACTATCCTGTCTGTTGTCATGGGGGCAGATGGGGGAGGATGTTTGTTTGGTGGAGGGCTTCACAAACCTGAAAACGGTAGGGATGATTGATGTGGAAAGTTGTCAGAGGGACTTGTGTCATTGGACTCTCTATGGAGAGATGGAGGTTGTTGTGGTGGAATAGCTGTATACATTCTGATCTCTTATTCCGTGTAGATGCATTGAGGCCGTAATGACGAGTCTTTTATGAAAACTGGCAGGGCATATAGTGTGGCATGCATGACAATGGGAATTCAATATGGAAACTTTTAATCATGAGGATTAGGACTGATATTGTGGAGTGGCTCCAACAAGCCACATTGGAAAAATGTAGGAATGCCACTGCATTACATAACAAAATATCAAACGAACACATTCAATTTATCAATACTGACAGTAAAGACATTTGTAATATCACACACGATTTCTATTTCAAATAAATGCTGTTTTTTTTACTTTCCATTCATCAAAGGATCCTGAAAAATGTATCACGGTTTCCACAAAAATATTAAGCAGCACAACTGGTTTCGACATTGATAATAATAAGAAATGTTTCAAATCAGCATATTAGAATGATTTCTGAAGGATCATGTGACACTGAAGAAAGGAGTAATGGTGCTAAAAATTCAACTTTGCCATCACAGGGAAAAAATCCATTTTAAAATATATTAAAATAGAAAAGAGTTATAATATTTAACAATGTTACTGTTTTTACTGTATTTTTGATCAAATAATTGTAGTGAGCATAAGAGACTTCTTTAAAAAAAAACATTAACAAAATCTTTCTGATCTCAAACTTTCAGTGTAGCCTACGTTGTCACGATACCAAAATGATGACTTTGATACAATTGAATGACAGAACTTTAAATTCATCGTTTTATTAATTAATAAAAAAAATCTCACTTGGCCAGCGTGTTTCAGCCCTGCTTTTCTACAATTCCTTCCCCTTTATTAAAAAACATAAAAAAAATGTGCATGCCACACAGTGTGAACGTTGTGGCGAGCAGGACGATGGACGAGACACTACTAAATATATAATATAATAAGCGCATATTCCCACAACAAGCTCCTACAGTTTCTTAGAAAAGTGCTTATAAAAACTCCATAGTTCACTCCATAGCAACAGGACTTTAACACAACCTGAAATTCTACGCAATGAGATCAGAGGTGGATTCGGAGAAAAGGAATTTAGGATCAAATCCCTTTCTTTCGTAAGCTCTGTTCATATGTAGATCTGCACTGATAGCAGCACATGTTCACTTCTGCTGCACTAAGCTAACTGCAATCTAAAGAGCTAAAACTGATCTGGAAACAGTACTCATATAGCTCTATATTATGAATGAGGCTCTGAAGTGGTCCGTCAGTGGCATAACTCTCTGAGCCCTTCTCCCGAAATGAGAGCTTTCCAGGAAGTCATGCTCTAGCTGTGCCTCATGTTTTCACCTCAGGTCCTGTCCCCTCACAGAGTAGACACAAAACTAACTCTAGCTATAACAGGACAGTTGCCACCTGGCGCATAGGGAGAATTATATAAACCTTTTTCTGTCATGATTCTGTCCTTGAGTTCTCTAGTTCTGAGACAGGATCATGGCAGACCCATGTTTGTTGTACAACACATGGTCTTTCGTTTGGGCCATGTGCTTGTGTGTCTGGTTACTTTACCCCGCCTCCTTGTTATCCTCGTTTGTCATGATTGTCTAGTTAGCATCACCTGTTCCCTTTATTGGTTCTCCTATTTAGTCTCCTTGTGTTTGCTGTCTTGTGTCGGTTCATTGTGATCCTTACCTCTGTGTGATCATTGTGAGTTTTGAGACCTTGTGATATCCTGTGAGTTTCCTGTTCCAGAATATTGTCTAGTTATTGTTTGTCATAATCTAGTTTAGTCTCTTTGTGTTTTGTCTACGGTTTGCCCCCTTTGTTAGTAAATAAACTATTTGTTTTACATCCTGTTTGCGTTTGGGTTCACCCGTATTTATCGTGACATTTTCTGTTTAGGAGCTTAATAACTGGCTGAGAAAGCACCAGCGCGATGCCAGTGTCTCCTTCGATCCTGTTATCTGTAGACAGCTCTGTGTCATTAGACAGAATTCAGACAATCTGGGGTGCGTTTCCCATACAACGACGTAACTCGCTGCTTCACTGCCATAGTACGATGCATCGTTGGAGAAATCAACTAGCTAGTCAGTGTTTCGGGAAACACAGACTCGTTGAACTATGCTGATAACGACAGAACTTGCGAACATTGGCTAACGATGCTTTTGGGAAACGCACCCCAGAGCCGTCCAAGTGCATAAAAAATGGCATATCCGTGCATTGTTATAAATTATAATGAAAACAATTGTAGTACTAATTGTGACAAAACTTTGGGGTTGGTGAGATTTGAGATTTGGTGAGACCAAGACTGTATTTGTTTGATCATATGGTAAAAACAAACAGTGAAATATTGATTAAATATTATTAAAATAATTATTTTGTATTTTAATATATTTTAAATGTCATTTATTTCTGTGATGACAAAGCTGAATTTTCAGCATCATTACTCCAGTCTTCAGTGTCACATGATCCTTCAGAAATCATTCTAATATGCTGATAGTCAATGTTGTGCTTATTACTTATACTCACTAAAGTGGAAACCTTGATATACTGTAGAATTGGAATATAAATCTTTTGTATCATTATAAGTGTAGCCTATGTCTTTACTGTCACTTTTAGTAAATTTACCTAGCTGGATAATAGTATTAATTTATTTAAAAAAGGATCACAATCTTACTGCAATCTCACTAAGCACAAACTTTTGAACGGTAGTGTACATATCATATTATTAGCTTTACATTATTATCTTATTCAAATTAAAAAGGACTCCTACCTAAAAACATTTGACATTTATTGGGAAAACGTTTTGCCATTTGGATTTTTACAGTGTGGCCATTATTATCACAACGATTATAAAAATGAGATCAGATATATTCACATGTCCTTTAATCACACCAACATACATTTATGTTTTTTTTCCCAGAAGTATTTCAGTAAAGTAACATAGTCAGTCCAAGGCCAAGGCTCACCTGTACCTCCAGTCACTCCGCTGGCCCATCATCAGAAGAGGCTCCAGACAGAGGGCAAACTCAGCATGGTAGTCTGTGTTTATCTGTAGAGTTGATACATACCGGTAGACTTTGTTAGTGTCAGAGGTCTGCACAAAGGGCAGCAGAAGTTTGGTATTAAACTCACCTTGCTACTCTGGACAGGGTGGAACTTGTGAGGTAGCGTTACAATGCTACACAGTCTGTCCATCAACTGCTGTTAAGGGTCATAGGGCATACTTTTTTTCTTTCTTTGAGACATTATTTAAAGTGCCCCAATAGTGCTTTTTCAGATATTACCTTCCATGTAGTGTATAATATACTGTAGCTGTTTGTGTAAAAGTTCTGCCAAATTTCAAAAATCAGTGTGCACAAGTTATTGTTTTCCAAAAGAAATAACTGATTCTGAACTACCTGAAACGAGTCATCAGTAATTCCAGTCTTACTTCCTGGACAAACCTACGTAAGTTTGTAACAAATTTGCATAATTCCAGCCTATGGTCTTCATTGGCTGCCTGCGAACAGCGTCTACTTCGACCCGCCCTCAAACACTTAGTTGTAGCTGAGGCTTCAAAGATTTTGGTTTGTGTTGTTGACATGTCGAGAAGACGCTGTTTTCCGTGCTGCGAAAGCAAACCACTTTGCATGTACTTTCAAAGGATGAGGACTCAAGCTTGAATTGATACAGTAAAACCGATGCCATTGTTACTGTTTTATCTCTGTTCATACAAGTGCTGAGGAAGCCTCCAGAGTTTAAATTTTACCTATTTACCTACGTTTGGTTTCCAATATGCACTGTAAGCGGTAGACCAATCACAACAGACTGGGCCAACTGACCAATCAGAGCAGAGTAGGCTCTCAGAAAGGAGGGGTTTAGAGAGACTGAATCCTTGACCGAACCGGTTTAGACACTGTGAGAAAAGAGGTGATGCTGCAATGTATATTGTGAGAAAATTAAAGGGTTTTTTTTGTTTGTTTTTTACCTTGGATGCATGTAAACCTAGGAGTCTTCCTTAACAAAATTAGATACCTTTCAAACAGCACAATAGGGGCACGTTAAAAGTAATGCATAAAGGATAAATCTACTTACATATCCCATATCTAAGAACTCATACTTATTGGCTGAGCCGAGAAAAGCGGAGCAGGTGACCAGGTGCACCTGGGAATAGAGATAATATATAAATCAGAGTATCTGCAGAGCTTTTAAAATCCCATTTTAGACTTTTAAGACCTACACAAATACAGTTAATACATAATACCATATGTCCATACAGAACAAAACAATACAATCTTAAAATAAATCATGTATCTCAGACTCTTTTACTTAATTAAACATGCTGTGGCACACAGAGCAGGAAAACCAAGTTTTTTTCAATATACGTATTGATATTTATGTACTAATATATCAAATTAGAATTCAATCAATATTTGATTTTGCTGATACAATAATAATGTGTTCGGCAATAAACAGATTATTGTGCTGATGCTAGTAAAAACCATATAATAAATGTGTTAAATAATGTTTTTAGCCTTTCCTTCCTTCCTGTATAAAGAGAAGCCACAAGAGTTTACATTGAATTAAATGCCAGATACAGTTTTGGGTAAGCAAAATACCAATAATATCCAGAAGAAAATATATTTTGCATAAAGCAGGACTTTTAATTATAAACAAGCCCGTAATATACCAGGACCCTTATTTTGAAATGTCCATGCTTTACTACTTTGATTCAAAAGGATGAGTGAGATCAAATAAACACTCTTGCAACCTACAACATATTACAATATAAACACCACAAAGTAAACATGATCATAATTCATCAACAGTAAATCATGAGCATTCACTTGGCATAAATGGGTGGTATTAGTTGATTGTGTATATCCTGTAACAGTGCTGTTTTTTTTTTTACTTTGAACATTCAGTGCTCACAAAAAATGTAGGCCTATTAAATCATCAGCTTTTTAATAATAAATCATTTACCTCTTAAAATGATAATCAATACTTTTTAAAAAAAAAATACCATTAAAGACATTTAATATATTTATGACCTTAAATTAGTCACAGGCCTACAGTTTGTGAACAACATGAGAGTAACTGATGACAGAATTTACATTTTTTGGCTAAACTATCCTTTCAAAATACCTGAAGTATGGGCAGGAGGGTGGAAGTGAGAAAGTTGTTCCTTAGTGCCTTCTCCTTCTCTTCATGTTGACTGTTGAGAATTTAGGTCAAAAAATATATTAGTACCCTCTGGGCCAGTGTTTACACAATGCATAGACCTTTCCAACACAAATACACTGTATATTTACAAAAATCAGCCTGATTTTAACATTTCGTCCTTTGTTTGCTCTTGCATGTCCCCGATATAAAAACACACACGTAGCCTACACGCTGAGTCCTAGATTGCAGCTTGACATAAATAGCTTAATTCCTGGAAGACATCAAGCCAGCTTCCAGGCAATGATGGAAAGGGGACGGAGAAAAAAACTCTTAACAAATAACAGGATCCATGAAACACAACCAAAGCCACTGCTGTTCCAACATTGACAACAACTCTGTGCTCTGCCAAAGCCATGTGGATAAACTGGCACGGATAGATAATTTAGACTTACGGGATCTTTAAGGACAATTTTTACCTTTCCGCAGCTTTTACAAAGTCCTTTTTTCTCTCTAAAAGTTTTTCCTGGGAAGAACAGCTTTTACTTTTGGACTAAATACTATTTGTATTCTCAACATTCAATTTTCAGTGATGCTTTGAGCACATATTTAGCCTGTTTAACTCAAATACATTATCCTTAAATTGTGTGGTTTTTGGGTCATACATGATCTTTGTCCAAGAATTCATCTCTGATGCTCACAAAGCTGCCCATTATTCTGGTCTGTGGTCACAGTGTGCCCCCTTCTGGTGTATTACCTCACCTGAATGCTGTTGAACTGAGTACAGATAGCACTTTCCTCCTCTTCTGCATTTGTTCACACTTCACCAAAGGCCTTCAGCAAAATGATGGCCTCTCGCATTGACATCTGCAGCTGCTTCACCTCCTTCAGGAGAAAACAGGTCAGTACAAGATGCATCCACTTGTCGGTACTCCGCAATGAGGTTCAGTTGTACTCTTTGAACTAGATGTTGGTCAGAGAGTCCAACAACTTTTAGAAATGTATAGTCATTCACCTTAAGATCTTAACCATTCACCTTAAGAAAAATTTAGGGTTGACAATTTTTTCTTATTTCTCTAATGATCACCAAGGCTGAAATGATTTGATCAAAAATATAGTAAAATCAGTAATAAAGTGAAATATTATTACAATTTAAAATAATTGTGTATTGTTTATTTGAATATATTTAAAATATAATGTATTCCTGTAATGGCAAAGCTGGGTGTCACATGATACTTCATAAATCAATCTAATATGCTGATTTGGTGATCAAGAAACATATTATTATCAATGTTGAAAACAGTTGTGCGTGTTTTTTTGTTGTTGATACATTTTTAAGGATTTTTGGGGATGAATAGAAAGTTCAAAGAACAGCATTTATTTGAAACAGAAATCTTTTGTAACATTATAAATATTTTTTACTGTCACTTCTTATCAATTTAATTCATCCTTGTTAAATAAATAAAGGTATTAATTTCTGAAAAAAAGTTCACACTTTAGTTTAGGGTCCAATTCTCACTATTAACTAACTATTAACTACAACTTTTGCCTAAAACAACTCCTAATTACTGCTTATTAATAGTTAGTAAGGTAGTTGTTAAGGTTAGGTATGGGGTTGGATTAAGGGATGTAGAATATGGTCATGCAGAATAAGGCATTAATATGTGCTTTATAAGTACTAATAAACAGCCAATATCCTAGTAATATGCATGCTAATAAGCAACTAATTAATAATTGGACCCTAAACTTGTCAGAGATGGGTGTAGGCAGGAAGCACGAGGAGACGAGGAATAACTACTAACAGGATTTTAATGATCAAAGAACTCAGGAGATCCAACACATACCATATAAACGCAACATATACAATAACCGACCAGGAGTGAGGGAGAACACTGGGTTTACATACACAGAGAACGGATCATGGGAACAAGACACCGCTGGGGCAAATTAACTAGACACAGGTGGAGGAACTGAACACAAACGAGGAGCGGGAAAACTGAGACACAGGACTAAACCAAAACACAGAGATGGGGGAAACTAAGAAACACAGATCACACTTGTGACATTACCTTGGCAGGCGTGACGTGAAGCTCTGGACTGGACGGGACCAGCGGCGAAGGAAGCTCTGGGCTGGACGGAACCAGCGGCGAAGGAAGCTCAGGGCTGGACGGGACCAGCGGCGAAGGAAGCTCAGGGCTGGACGGGACCAGCGGCGAAGGAAGCTCAGGGCTGGACGGGACCAGCGGCGAAGGAAGCTCAGGGCTGGATGCATGGGCCAGAACTGATGCGTGTGTAGCCCACACACACAGAATCGCCGCAGACATCACCATCAATGCAGTGTCCTCTTGAGTGGACTCACGTGCGGTGTGCTTAGTCTCTGGCGGGTAGGCGTGCACCAGCGGTGAAGGCAGCTCTGAACGGACGGTCTCTGGCTGGACAGTCTCTGGCTGGACGGTCTCTGGCTGGACGGTCTCTGGCTGGACGGTCTCTGGCTGGACTGATGTTACCGTGAGGGATGAACCACAGACCCAAAGCGCCCTGTCCAGAAACTCCGAGAACGGCAGATGTAGGTCATCGAGCAGCAGTATCTGGGCTAAGGGATCATCCAAACCTCTCCAGAACCGCTGTTTAAGGAAATCTTCCTCCCAGTATACGTCCTGGTGCAGGTGAAGATATACCTCTGTGAATTCCTCCAGCGAGGCCCCATTTTGGTCAAAGAGGAAAGCCTCCATCTGGTCGTCCATTTTTGGGGTCGGTTATTCTGTCACGGTGTGTGTAGGCAGGAAGCACTAGGAGACGAGGAATAACTGCTAACAGGAATTTAATATACAAAAACTCAGGAACTACAACACTTACAACCATATAAACGCAACATATACAATAACCGAGGAGTGAGGGAGAACACTGGGTTTACATACACAGAGAACGAATCATGGGAACAAGACACCGCTGGGGCAAATTAACTAGACACAGGTGGAGGAACTGAACACAAACGAGGAGCGGGGAAACTGAGACACAGGACTAAACCAAAACACAGAGATGGGGGAAACTAAGAAACACAGATCACACTTGTGACAAAACTAAATTGTTACCAAAAAAATCTGACTGAGCCCAAACTGAACGTTTATTAATACATGTTATATCCACTGTACATGTGTGCATTCTGTAGTATAAGATGATATGAAGCATTTATCATTTTCAGTTAATGCTTTAAATATTATAAGATTCTTGGCAGTTTCTGGAATTTAACAATCCCTACTTACTTTTTACCTACTCACCAGAACAGCTTTATCCAGTATTTCACATCCCTGCCCATTTGCAGTCTCAATGTCAACGCAGTGGGTGCGATTCTCACTATATCATGAAATTAAATAATATTAGTCAGATTCATTTTATTTAAATTATAAACGTTTGCAATTCAAATGGCAACAGTCTTACTTTGGCATGTCTCTGAAACACTTGACGCACAGCATGGACTTTTTCTCTGTCGAAAACATGATGTACAGCTCTTTATGGAGCGCTGATATAAGGAAATGCAAAACATCAGAATTTAGTCTGACATTACATGTTAACGGTATATGGAGGACTAAACCCTTCTTTGGTGCGTTTGGCCAGGGACACAATATCATGGGAAAACATCCTAGCTTTGTGTGTGAGCTCTCTGCACTCTCCACACAGTGGCTGGCTGCAGGTGTTACACTAATACACCACTCCAGCATCCTATGCACATATATACATGCACATTCAGTCAAAAAGATGTGCTGTTACTGCAGATGCCTGAAAAGAAATGAATGCATATTTTTTATGTACCTGTGCTTTGCATTCCATATCACAGTTTGCACACTTTACTACACTTACTACACTTTACTACACTGTACTACATTGTCTTCATGCATTTACATTTTGTAATATGTAATAGCCACTCATTATGATGTTGTGAATATAATACATTGAATATAACACATTAAATATGTTGGAATGAATGTAATAGGATAATTTCTCATTTAATTAATTCATAATATTAACATTAAATATGATCATAATATTATAATATTATTAATTTAATATTATCATCATACATCAACTGAAAAATGGACATAAAATGTTGTAGATAATTGATCTGCATGAACTCAATAAGTTCCTTGTAAAATCTGATGATCATGCTTTGAGAATGATCCAAAGTGCGTCAGTGCAAGCAAGAAAATGTGAAAGAAGTTAACATGGTCACACATTTGCTTACATTCAACTAGCGACCTAGAAATAGTCCAGAAATGGTCCTAAAATATTTCATCTTCTTGTTTATTTATAACCTTTCTTTGTGATACATTTTAAAAAATTCTAAAACTTGGGTAAAAGGAATAACAAATGTGTTCAATGTGTTCTCAGACACAAATATGTACATCCGTCAGTCTCCACATTTATCTTGTTTTCATTATAACCAGCTTTTCTGTACCAGTAATAGCATCAAAGTGGTGAATTTAGATTGCACTGCATGAGGGAGTGTGTGGTACTGCAAAGTACAAAAGCTTCATTATCTGCAACTCTTAAGTGACAAAGCAAGATCCCACACTCGCACTAAACTGAGAAAGATTACACCGCTCACATGCAAACAAATACCCTACCATATAATAGAATCTAAGCAATGAAAAAGTTCCACAATTTGGGAAAGTACACTGCAACATTTCTATTATGTTAGGCTGTGGTAATGGACTGCATTGCTGAAATGAGCTTTGCTTTTACCCACTGAACCATAGACTGTTGGCACTACTACACTGGTCTTATAAAGCCAGGCTACGTAGACACCACAAATGCAAGTTTGCAGTGGGAAACAATGGATAAATATAGCAGGGAAAAGCTTTGCTGCTGTGTCATTAGATACTTGGTGCTCAAAACGTAGTTACAACAAACAACATTATGTTTTTTTTTCTAAAACAGTAGTTGGATCAGGGCATATCATTGAGACCTGCTATATTAGGAAACAATTCAGAGAAATACCAAGTTCAGTTTACTCTTTTAGTGGTTAATAAGTATAGTTTTTATTAGCTGATGTTGATCTCTACAGGACAGTTGTTTGGCACCATTGACTTCCATAGTAGAAAAAAAAAAATGCTATGGAATTCAATGGTGCTAAAGTTCCAATCGTTCTTCAAAATATCTTCCTTTGTGTTCAGCAGAAGAAAGAAACTCACACAGGTTTGCAACAACTTGAGGGTGAGTAAATGATGACAGAATTTTCATTTTTGGGTAGAGTATCCCTTTAAGCATCACACCATTGATAATAATGAGAATCCTTCTTGAGAACCAAAATCTGAGTATTAGATTGATTTCTGAAGGATCATGTGACACTAAAGGCTGGAGTAATGATGCTGAAAATTCAGCTTTGTCATCACAGGAATAAATTACATTTTAAAATATATTCAAATAGAAAACTATTTTAAGTGCCGTTATTGTGCTGTTTTAAAGGTTAAACTTTGTTTTGGAGGTCTCCTTTTGGAGCCTGGCTGATATAATCTCTGTCAGGACAACTCTCTGAGTGTTTGGCATGGTAATGGATATGACAATGTTGATATGTTTTGTCTTGGCGGAATAGATCTGCTCTATCCTGCTGCTACCGCTGCTGCAGAGTACAAGTACGTAGTAATAATACAAGTAAGTAATAATACAAGTACGGGACTTGCTACTGTCAATACACACACGACATACTGCTGTGAGCAAGTAAGTTGTACTGCATGCTGCTGCTGTACAATATTAGCCTGGTTCTACCAGACTCTCGTACATTTCATTTGTACAGAGAGTCTGGCCTCGCTCCATTGAGAAACGTTTACTTCCTTGTAGGCGGGTTCTCTGTTAAAGTTCAAAACTATTGGATCTGCCCAGCGTCACTCAGGATCTGCCATAGCCAATCGCTAACGTGTGGTCGTGACGTATGTCATGCGCCGAAACCGGCTGGAAACAACAAGTCCGAATTCCATATTCATAAATCTAAATATCTAAATGCTAAACCTCTCTTTCTTATATTTGTGAAAGAATTTTAAAAATACCTCTTTTCAATTAAGTTGTCTGAGAACAAAAAAAGCCTTAAAAACATTATCTGTTTGTAATTATTTTCCTTTTTTCAGTGTCATGTAATTCTCTTAACTTGTTCATGTTTATTTTATATTATCCCCCTACTGTTTTATTTTTGTTTTGTTTTTATTATTATTTTTTGTTTGTTTTTGTATTATGTTTTCTGTTATTACTTGTGGATTGTTTTAAGCAATAAAAAAAAACAAGTCCGAATGATCAGAGCATTATGTTAAGAATAAGATGTCTGTCAACGAGAGCTGCATGTTTTGTTCATCGAATTTAAGAGTTCAAGGAACAATTCTAAATTCTAAATGTATATTTGACACTAAGGACAGTGATGTATTCAGTCAACTGTCGAAGCTGGGTGTAATCATTAACAATACGCCGCTGCGGTCGTTTCGGATCTGCCGCAAATGCTGTACAGTGATCATCGTGCACGCCGAGCTGCCCAGCACCAACTCCTAACCTTTCTGCCTCCCTCACTTGGTCCTCCATTAGTGCAACAAGAGGAGACGACAACAACTATCGGCTTTGCATCCTATCGTTCGCCTTAGCTAACTCATTCACCTAGCGGAGTGAGCTGGAAAATTAAACTTTTCCCGAACCCCGTGGGGAGGAGGGCCACAACATCATGGCCACCAACAACACTTAGCAAACATTGATCTTGCTCCGGCTTTAACTTCTGGATATTCGGCAGTTTTGCAACAACGGACCGAATAGATTTTCTCACGTCTTTCTCCGCTGCCATTACTGAACTCAAACTCAAACTGACGCGCTACATCAACGTCATCGTTCTCAGCCACTCCCTCTGTTCGCTGATTGGACCGGTAAAAAAATTATTTCTGGAAACCAAAGTCTACAGCACAATCCCAGACGTAGTACTGAAGGAAAATAAAATTGAGCGGAAGTGCGTAGGAGGGCGGAGCCAGGCTAGTACAATATAGCATGCATGAATTACCCATAACAGATCTATACAGGCGGAGCTGGGGAAGGTGGAGGGTGCCATCTATAGTTTCATGACAGAACTTTGTACGGTATATATCACTAGTTAGTTTCACTATTGGTCTCTTTTAATTTGCCCTGCACATTGTAAAGAAATGCATCAAAATAGCAGATATGTGAGTCACCTCGAAACAAGATGAAATAGGTCAGCACCAGATTGTGTGTAATTGCTATAAGCTGTGGGATCAATGCATCAAGCACCTTTGCCAAGATGCTTGTGTGAGGATCTGTTGTTAAATGACAATGTTGTGATGTGATCGGAGTGTACATCATGTGGAGTGCTTGTTGTGGTGCTAAAATCAGAATGATGGGGTCGTCCTGCAGCTGTCCCAACAGCAACAACCCTGTGCTGCTCCTAACTGGACCTCACTGGCCTCACTGTCCTGGAAGAATGATGTTTCTTTGTTGCATGTTGCATGAACTTGAACTTGAATTCCAGACCAAGAAATGATCGCAACAGCACATGCTAAGACTAAGTTGTTATTGATCAACAAAGAGAAACATGATATGAGAAAAAAAGATGAATTGAAAATGATGAAATGGAGCATCAACCAATGAGAAGAACATTTGTTAGTCATCAAAACCTTGGAGAGCACTTCAAAACAGAAGACTTGACGGTTATATACAAGAGTGTAATGAGTGGGTGGGTATAGTACAAGAAAGATTACAGGAATCCAGGTTTGGCAAAGATTCATTTTGGAATTAACACAAGCTCCAGCTTGAAGAAAACTAGAATAAGTGGAGACCCAGATGTAACTTGGCTTCAGTTTGCTGTGGCTGGTTGTGATTGAACGCTTCTGTCAGGATTTCCATTTCCTCACCCAACCCCCCAATCGTTGAGGTAAAGCTTTCTGTGTACTTGGATCTCAATAAAGCAATTGGATTTTTTCAGCATCTACAGTACAGAAATTGTTTGCCTCCTTCCTGAATTATTTTTTTTTGCATATTTGTCACACTTAAAGGAGCTGTATGTAAGAAATGTATTTCAATTAATCATAAAATGGCCCTGAAATGTTAGCCTCGTGAGACCATCCTGATCTCGCGAGCTTTCAAGGTTTCACTCGCAGATCAGTCTGGATACTTTCCGTTAAAGAAAATTTGGGAGCAGTTCACCAAACGAACGTCCAATCAGCGTTGGCTTTGAGGCGGGTTGAGGTGTGACGCAACGAGAAGCGCGTCAGTTCAGTCTAAAGAACATGTCGGCTTCAGCGGATGAAACTAGCATCAGCGTGGCTATCGAGCAAGTTTTATCGGAATTACAGAGTATTTCTTCACTGAAAGAAGAGCAAAACACTGCTCTGGAGGCTTTTCTCAGAGGAAAAGATACGCTCAGTTAGTACTTCATATGCTTCGTTGATCTGATTGGTTGATTTGGCCCGTCTATCATCAACATAGGCCAATCAGCTAACCAGTATTTTCGCCCCTTACCAAAACTACTTCAACGGAAGGTTTCCAGATGGATATGCGGAGCAAATCCATCTGGCGGAGTCAGGTTACTGAAATGTCACTAGACATTAAGAAATCATGTACATTTCAAATACTTATATCACTGACAACAGTAGTCCGGCCAGGATATTGTCATTTAAAAAGTGCAGTTGCAGCCCTCAACTGATGTTGATGTTGTCATGTTGTGTTTTGGTCTGATGCTCCACCCTCCACCTATCTACCAATCACGAAGTCAGTAGTGTTGCGGCATCCGGGTTGCCAGCTCTGCTCTAGTTACCACAGCTGCAGCTTGTCACGTTCCTGCTGGATCCTGCAGCCGATCTGGCAACCTCGAGTCAGGGGGAGGGGGAGGGGATACACCACTCTACAGTAATTTGACAGTGATTGCAGTACCAGTTTTGGCCACAATCTTACATACAGCTCCTTTAAATAATTCAGATCATCAAACAAATTTTAATATTACACGAAGATAACCCAAGTAAATACAAAATGCAGTTTTTAAATGATGATTTCATTTATTAAGGGAAAAAAGCTGTCCAAACCTGCCTGGCCCTATGTGAAAAATTACGGGGGTTTAATTTCACTAGCCACACCCAGGCCTGATTACTGCCAGACCTGTTGAATCAAGAAATCCCTTAAATAGAACCTGTCTGACAAAGTGAAGCATGCTAAAAGGTCTCAAAAAGTAACACATCATGCTATGATCTAAAGAAATTGAAGAACAGATGAGAAACAAAGTAATACACATGCATCCGTCTGGAAAGGGTTACAAAGCCATTTCTAAGTCTTTGGGACTCCAGCGAACCACGGTGAGACCCAGAACAACATCTAAAGAACTTCAGGCCTCACTTGCCTCAGTTAAGGTCAGTGTTCATGATTCAACAATCAGAAAGAGACTGGGCAAAAATGGCATCCATGGAAGAGTTCCAAGGCGAAAGCCACTGCTGACCAAAAAGAACATAAAGGCTCGCCTTACACTTGCCAAAAAACATCTTGATTAACCCCAAGACTTTGGGGCAAATATTCTGTGGACGGATGAGACAAAAGTTGAACTTTTTGGAAGGTGTGTGTCCCGTTACATCTGGCGTAGAACTAACACAGCATTTCATAAAAAGAACATCATACCAACAGTCAAACGTGGTGGTAGTGTGATGGTCTGGGGCTGCTTTGCAGCTTCAGGACCTGGACGACTTACCATTATTGATGGAACCATGAATTCTGCACTGTACCAGAAAATCCTGAAGGAGAAAGTCCGGCCATCAGTTCGTGACCTCAAGCTCAAGCGCACTTGGGTTATGCAGCAGGACAATGATCCGAAACACACAAGCAAGTCCACCTCAGAATGGCAAAAAAAAATAAGGTTTTGGAGTGGCCTAGTCAAAGTCCGGACTTAAATCCAATTGAGATGCTGTGCCATGACCTTAAACAGGCCGTTCATACTCGAAAACCCTCCAATGTGGCTGAATTAAAACAATTCTGCAAAGAGTGGGCCAAAATTCCAGCGACGTGAAAGACTCATTGCCAGTTATCGCAAACGCTTGATTGCAGTTGTTGCCGGTGGCACAACCAGTTTTAGGGGGGAATTACTTTTTCACATTTTGTATTCACTTGGGTTATCTTTGTGTAATATTAAAATTTGTTTGATGATCTGAATCATTTAAGTGTGATACATATGCAAAATAAATCAGGAAGGGGGAAAAACATTTTTCACAGCACTGTACATTGTCTACTTATAGGTGACTTATTTAACTTTTAGTAGCATTTAAAATGTTTTCTATCAGAACAAATGTTCACATGGAGCAATTACACTCACCTAAAGGATTATTAGGAACCCATACTAATACTGTGTTTGACCCCCTTTCACTTTCAGAACTGCCTTAATTCTACGTGGCATTGATTCAACAAGGTGCTGAAAGCATTCTTTAGAAATGTTGGCCCATATTGATAGGATAGCATCTTGCAGTTGATGGAGATTTGTGGGATGCACATCCAGGGCACGAAGCTCCCGTTCCACCACATCCCAAAGATGCTCTATTTGGTTGAGATCTGGTGACTGTGGGGGCCATTTTAGTACAGTGAACTCATTGTCATGTTCAAGAAACCAATTTGAAATGATTCGAGCTTTGTGACATGGTGCATTATCCTGCTGGAAGTAGCCATCAGAGGATGGGTACATGGTGGCCATAAAGGGATGGACATGGTCAGAAACAATGCTCAGGTAGGCCGTGGCATTTAAACAATGCCCAATTGGCATTAAGGGGCCTAAAGTGTGCCAAGAAAACATCCCCCACACCATTACACCACCACCACCAGCCTGCACAGTGGTAACAAGGCATGATGGATCCATGTTCTCATTCTGTTTACGCCAAATTCTGACATACCGTCTGAATGTCTCAACAGAAATCGAGACTCATCAGACCAGGCAGCATTTTTCCAGTCTTCAACTGTCCAATTTTGGTGAGCTCTTGCAAATTGTAGCCTCTTTTTCCTATTTGTAGTGGAGATGAGTGGTACCTGGTGGGGTCTTCTGCTGTTGTAACCCATCCGCCTCAAGGTTGTGCGTGTTGTGGCTTCACAAATGCTTTGCTGCATACCTCGGTTGTAACGAGTGGTTATTTCAGTCAAAGTTGCTCTTCTATCAGCTTGAATCAGTCGGCCCATTCTCCTCTGACCTCTAGCATCAACAAGGCATTTTCGCCCACAGGACTGCGGCATACCGGATGTTTTTCCCTTTTCACACCATTCTTTGTAAACCCTAGAAATGGTTATGCGTGAAAATACCAGTAACGGAGCAGATTGTGAAATACTCAGACCGGCCCGTCTGGCACCAACAACCATGCCACGCTCAAAATTGCTTAAATCACCTTTCTTTCCCATTCTGGCATTCAGTTTGGAGTTCAGGAGATTGTCTTGACCAGGATCACACCCCTAAATGCATTGAAGCAACTGCCATGTGATTGGTTGATTAGATAATTGCATTAATGAGAAATTGAACAGGTGTTCCTAATCATCCTTTAGGTGAGTGTATGTCGCATTAATTGTTCAAGCATGATTCATGCACACTTTCTGTATTTTCTTTACTAGTATATGTGTCTTTTACGTCCCCGGGGGCAGTTGAGGTGATTGTCATTGGCTCTGCCACGCAGGCAGCTGGCACAGAAGATGTGGTAACAGTCCAGAAGACATGGTTGGCTGTATTGCTCATGACACAGGTGACAGACGAGGGGATGGAGCCTGTAATAGTCTGGATCCCACTGGTCATCATGAGAGATGATGATTCTTCCCGCCATCTGTAAAAAACAGCAAATACCTTTAAGTATTTGGGATAGTTCGAAATGGATATTACTATAATTAAATCCAATGTCTGCTTTTTTTAAAAATCCAGAATTATTTTTAAACAAATTAAAGAAAAGCTATAATCTATTTTTATGGGACATTATATGTAAATAAATACCAATTAGATTTTTTTTAAGCAAAATGTTTTTCTGAATTTCTACAATGACATTAATTAAAAAAAAAAAAACAATAAAATAATAATCTGCATTTCTTAAAATACTTTTTTATTCAAACTAATTATTACAACATTAGAATCTTGTTCTTTCTCTGACAAGTTGGGTTGGAAATAGAGACAAGACAAAAGACAAATTGTCATAAATAAAACCACATTAATAAAACTAACAAATTAAATTCAGTAACCTGCAGTCAAATCTATAGACTTGTGTTCTGATATAAGAGATTCACTTTTAAATACAGTGAGTGATATAGAAAAATCAATCAATAAATAGTGCTATAAATTCTTCATGTAAATCCATCGTCCTCATGATTTTACTTCAAAATGAGTATTTTATTGATGCAAAGCAGTTCACTAACACTATATGCAATTAAAAAAAAAAACCTTACCTGATCAAAAACAAACAACAATGCTGTCCGATATTAGTTTGCATATTTGTTATTCCAAACATACTGCAAAAGTGCCATTATATGAACTCCATAATGTGGCCAACAAGACAAATCTCTGTATTATGTCTCCCTGAGTGCATGAGTGCATGTAAAGACAGTTCTCATTTCCTCTTCACAAGCAAAACGTAGTTGCCCACGCAGTAAATTTGGCTTGGTTCAGGAGGGGCCAGTGGATTAACACTATGGTCTTGACCACTATCTACAGCTGGAATATAGTAATGCTGGGACTCTTCAACAGCCTGATGCCAACAGCTGACTATGATGGAGGGGAGGGGAACTGAATGCAAAAGGAGACGAGGGTTGCCAAAGGTAAAGCTGCAGTCTAACAATATGAGAAACCAAAGGCTGTGTACCCTAACCAAAGCCTGTGTACCCTGTTAGGAGGGCAGCAATAATAATAATACTTTTATTTGTGCAATTGGATATCAATGGTCTCTTAAGTTATTGTTCTACTTTTAGCAAGTACTTTTACTTTTTTAGCAAGTTTTTACTTTTAGCTTTTTCATGTTGTCTGTAGCCTATGTCCTGATTATAGTTGATATCAAGTCTTTCCAATAGGCTATGTGAATTAGTAATCTCAATGATGACATATACAAAATATTAAGTCTTGATATTTGTTTTTAATTTATTTCCAGTGAGTTTTCCACTAAACAACATAATTTAGACAAGGCATTAGATTAGGTACAAATAAATAAAATGGGTATTGTCATGACCCCATGACTGTACTAATCAATCTCCGAATAACTGATTCTATCGATTGTGTTTGGAATAGATTATAACGGGAAGATTCCAATGCGCATGCGCTCCCTCTCCTCTCTCTTTCTGCCAAACGTTCGGCCATGGCCCCGATTGTGAGTACGAGCAAATTTTCTGAAAAACGACAAAATACGTTTTGTCACGTCCCTCCAGGCTCGCAGAAATCAGTGAATATTAAAGGCGAATCATGGAGAGTTTGAGTAATTTGATTAACGGAAGATTGTGTGCATCAGTGTTGTTTTTAAAAGCGTTTGTTTACCGGAGGTGTGGAGGGAGGCCTGCTCGTGAACAACCACGTTGTAGCAACCACCAGTTAGCGGATTAGCATTTCTCATAGAGCCGACACAGAATAACTACTAGAATACTGAGCGTTTCTCGACAATGGTGATATGTATCGACATGTAGATCATTTATAATTGTTTGTATTTTGTTTTGAACGCAATTTCTTTACCAAAGAATTGAAACCACGAAGCTAACTTAGCCAAACATGATATGGCTGCGTTGGAGATTTAATTTCACATTTACCTCAACGTTTTTAAACCCAATTCGTTATTGCTTTGAAATATGTGTAACCGTAGGTCGTTGTCATATATGCTGTCAGATTCCCGTTTTGCTAGAGCTACTTTTAATGTATGATCGGAGAAACATACCTTTAGTGCATTGATTCATGTTACTTGATTTATTTACATTAATTCCAGTTCTTTTAATGGAAACACTGATCTCTATTGATTTCATCCTGTGCTTCTGATTGTGTCTCAGAAAAAGCAGGTGACCAAGGGTGGGAAGAAGAAAAAGCAGGTCCTAAAGTTCACCTTGGACTGCACCCACCCTGTGGAGGATGGCATCATGGATGCTGCTAACTTTGTAAGTGTAACGTTACACTGGTTTTCTGATGCATAGTGCGCACAAAACTAGAAATCTCCAATCAGATTACCTGACTGACAAGCCATTTTGGGTGTTGTGTGTGTTTTTAAAGTTCGCATGAAACGAAAATTCATCCCATCCATTTTAAAGCGATAGTTCGGCCAAAAATGATATTTAACACATGCATTGCTCACCCTCAAGCCGTTCGAGATGCATATGTCAATCTTGTTTCAGACGAACACGTTTTCAGTTATTTTAGAAAATGTCTTAGACCCTTCAGTGGATATAATGTGAAGCAATGGGGTCCACCTCCTTCAAGTCCCAAAATGTGCATACATCCTTCACAAAAGTAATCCATCCGGCTCCAGGGGGATAAACGAATGCCTTCTTAGGGTAATCCGTGCGATTTTGTCTTAAAAATATGCATATTTAAAACTTTATAAATGAAAATATCTGACTTCCGGCAACGATCGACGCGCGTTCACGGGTGATGTAAGTCGGCGTACGAGGTAGGACGTAGCGTAGGAACCGTCGTGACGTAGAACGAACGCGCCTGCGCAGCCAGAGAGCAGAGCAAAACAACGTCTACGTCACGACGGTTCCTACGCTACGTCCTACCTCGTACGCCGACTTCATCACCCGTGAACGCGCGTCGATCGTTGCTGGAAGTCAGATATTTTCATTTATAAAGTTTTAAATATGTATATTCTTACAACAAAACCGCACGGATTACCCTCAGAAGGCCTTCGTTTATCCCCCTGGAGCCGGATGGATTACTTTTGTGAAGGATGTATGCACATTTTGGGACTTGAAGGAGGTGGACCCCATTGCTTCACATTATATCCACTGAAGGGTCTAAGACATTTTCTAAAATAACTGAAAATGTGTTCGTCTGAAACAAGATTGACATATGCATCTCGAACGGCTTGAGGGTGAGTAATGCATGTGTTAAATATCATTTTTGGCCGAACTATCCCTTTAACTACATGTTATAGATATTATTGGGAACATTTCATCCTCCCATACGGTTACATTTTTTCAACCTCATAATGTTTAATCAAAATATCAGAACTGGGTCTTTTTTATGGACTCATGTAAAACTGCATTTCCTGCTTGTATCCATTTCAGGTAGACCTGCCCCTAAATGGCACATGATACAAAACTATAATTTGTCTGTTATAGAGCTGCAACTAACGATTATTTTTATTATCGATTTAATCTGTTGATTATTTTTCTATTAATTAGAGGAAAAATCTAATGTATTATACATTCAAAAATATTTTTTAAATGGATACATTTTAATCCACTATTTTAAACAATTTTATTCCATTTGCTGCCCAATGCTGTCCTCCAAATAATATGTAAAGTCTATGAAAACAAATATAGTGAATGTATCTATGTAGGCTATGCTGTATGATCACACACATTCACTCCTCTGAACATAGTAATTATATTACATACATATGCTATTCCAACAATAGTTCCTTTTACTGTTACTGCTCTCATAAATATGATTACTTGTGTTAAATGTTGAATTTTAAAACTGCACTTAATTTCTAATAAATATTTTAGGCATAATAATTGGTTATTTTCAGTAGAATATTATTCTCCTATTCTACTGCGCTCTGTCTGTTTGATGCGTATGTGCGCACCGGCGCTCGTTCATTGAAATCTGAAGTTTAACAAGACGCTTGTTGTCCGAATATGCAAAATGGAAATACTTTTTTTACATTTTGTCCATAGAAATGGGTTTTTCACTACTGTAAAGCGATCTGACTGGCTTATGGTTTCCCATGCACAGCGTGCAGATGTGATTAATCGATAATCAAATTCATTGTCGATAATAACCGATTTTATCGATTAGTTGTTGCAGCCATAGTCTGTTAATGGCTTAAATAAGTAGCAAAGTGTACTTGTACTGATAGTTAATTGTCTGTAATTGTCTAGTCTAATTTTTCAATCATTCTGTGAAATTGATTTTATTTAATTTTCAACATAACTGATGTATGTTTGTGCAGCTGTGATAAATGTGGAGACAGGGGTTGGTGGCTTGCAGTTGTATTTCCATATGATCTTATAGGCATGTCTGGATGTGTCTCTCTTTAGGAACAGTTCCTTCAGGAGCGCATCAAAGTAAATGGTAAAGCTGGTAACTTGGGTGGTGGTGTGGTCTCCATCGATAGGAGCAAAAGCAAAATCACAGTGACATCAGAGGTCCCCTTCTCTAAAAGGTGAGTCTGAGATTAGAGATCCACTTTCCTGAAGTTAAATGCTTAGCAAGGGATGCTAACTATTAGCTTATTGCTGTTATCACTCTGTGACCATTATGTTGAAAATTTAGATCAGTTAAAACAAAAATGAGATGTAAAAGTAGTCATTAAGATAATGGAACTGAAAAATTCTGTACATGTATTACCAAACGGCAAAAGAGAACATTTGTGCACTTTATATGGTCTTTTGCCATTATCACTCAACTGCTATTATTACCAATGCAATTTTGTTTGATATTTTAGTAACATAAGGTTTCATTTGTTAATATTAACTACATTAGTTAATATGAACTAACAATGAAAAATACCTGTACAGCATTTATTAATCTTAGTTCATATTAATCTCAACATTTACTAATACATTTTTAACATAAAAAAATGTATGTGTTAATATTAATGCACTGCGAACCAACATAAACATGTTTATTACCTAACATTAGCAAA